TAATTCGCAGTTTCCAAAACATTCGTTGTTGCTGCTGGCATATGCAGACCAAAACACGGCTATCCTTCAAACTGTGCACTTCTCTGAATTTTGCAGTGTGTATTAGTAACTAAAATGTAAAAAAAAAAGCTTTATATATAAAATGCAATGCATTGCAAACATATGCACATTTAGATAAAAATGCATACAAAAATGTGTCTATTTGGAGAAATTTGACCTAAAATGCTGATGAATTTCCATGCAAACATAAAAAAAATCATGAATTGATGTGGAAATGTAGAGAACCAAACTTAAGATGTGGGGTGTGGGTGTGAAAAATGGAGAGAAACAGAATTGGACAAAATGACAGGGAGGATTCAAAACCTGCGGGACCAGAGATTTACAGAAGATTGGAAGAAGTATATGAATTATTTGAAGAGCAACTGTAATCAACAAATTACGCTAGTAGGACTACAAGAGGTTTTGTAAGGAGAAATATACAAAGTGTTACAAAGTAGAAAAAGATAGAGATATTGGTTATGAATTTGAAATGTAATAGGGAAGATAAGAAATGCATATTGACAGGAAAGCGTTGTTTAATGTTTGGATAAGATATAAGGATTTGTTAGAAAATAAAACCCCAAGGTGGCTGTCACCAATGGAAGCGAAAGCCTTGAAAAAGCTCAATATGGAGGTCAAATGGCCGAAATATTGGGAAATTTTGGAACAAGATGGAGATAGACTGAAATTGCAGAGTTTTGAAAAACTAAAAAGCAAAGTGCAAGACTGGCTTCATTATTTTCAGATAATGGAGGCATTTAAACTGGACAGGAAAATTGGCTTCCAGGTGGAAAAATCAAAATTAGAAACTGAACTGTTAGAACCCAAAACTAAGAATTTATCAAGAATGTATAACTTGCTGCTGAAATGGAACACTCAGGATGAAATGGTAAAATCGGCTATGATTAAATGGGCACAAGACGTTGGACATAACATTATGTTTGCTGACTGGGAACAGTTGTGGACCACCAGTATGAAATTTACGGCATGTAATGCCTTAAGAGAGAATATTATGAAAATGATATACAGGTGGTACATAACCCCGGTCAAGCTTGCAAAAATCTATCATTTGCCCGATAACAAATGTTGGAAATGTAAAGAAACTGAAGGTACATTTTTTCACCTTTGGTGGACATGCCCAAGGATTAAGGCTTTCTGGGAAATGATATATAATGAATTAAAAAAGGTATTTAAATATACCTTTCCCAAGAAACCAGAGGCCTTTCTCCTGGGCATGGTCGGCCAAATGGTGATAAAAAAGGATAGAACTTTCTTTATGTATGCAACAACAGCAGCAAGAATACTCATCGCAAAGTATTGGAAGACACAAGAACTTCCCACGCTGGAGGAATGGCAGATGAAACTGATGGACTATATGGAATTGGCGGAAATGACTGGCAGAATCCGTGACCAGGGAGAAGAGTCGGTGGAGGAAGATTGGAAGAAATTCAAAGATTATCTACAGAAACACTGCAAAATTAAAGAATGTTAGAGTGATGTTGGACTAAAAATAAGTGGTTTCCAGCTGTACAGGATTTAAAGTTATAGACAGACTAATTAAAGATTAGGATTAAAAAAGTTGAAGGAAATGGAAATTTGGTATTTAAGAGGTAAAATTTTTAATGATATATTATATTAAGATTAAAGATTGGGATTAAAAAGTGGAAAAGAAATTGCTGGACAAACAATTTGGACTGGAATACAAAAGAGGGAGGTATGGGGAGGTCCAGAAAATAAGTAAATTTAAAAACGGAAATGGAAAGGTGATATTGTTTTTTAATTGTTCTGTTTCTTTCTTTTTTTGTTTTTTCTGTTTTTTATTATGTATTGTGTATTTGTGTATTTTTTTCTATGTTTTTCTGTTTAATCTTTCACTGAAATTTTAATAAAAATCATTTACAAAAAAAAAGAAAAAAAAGAAATGCATATTGAGAGATTAGATTGGAAAATTTTCAGACAGGATTGATGGAAGTCAAAAATTTGAATAAGATGGAAAAGTATGTTTAATTACTGTTGAAAATGATATGTTAAAAAAAAAATATATATATTAAAGAAAAATGGAGAGAAACAAATTTGTCAGATTCACCCATCCCTACTTCCCACCCTTTGCCTTTTGTAAGTCTAGTTTACCCCAGCCATGTTCTTCCTCACATCTCCCTTCCCCATCTGCATGCAAAGGCAGGGCTTTTGTTTTGCCTGACAGCATGTAGGAGGAAAGGATGGGCCAATGGACCAGGGAAAGAATATGGCTGAGCTTATCGTCTTTTCAATTGGCTCCTGGAGCTGTGTCTTTATGAGCAGGCTTCACCTGCTGAAATGTTTAGGTGAAGCTTTTCATGGCGTGTCGGTGGGCACTATCAGTCACTGGTTCTTGCATATCAAGCTGCTGTGGAAGCAGCGTTACAGAGGCAAGCTGAAAAGCTGGCAACTCTGATGGCAAAAGAATTCATGTGCGCATCCTCTTTCCCGGTTGCAGAGCTGTTAAGGAGCAAAGCGGGATTCTCCAGGATGCAACAAGGCAAGCTTCTGCAACAGGGGTCGTGGGGAGGACACACATGATAAAGTATGCAGAGCACTTTGCACATAAAATTTCAGTATAAATGATTAACAATAATACTGTAGGAAGAGCTACCAGTTTTCCCAGAAGTGTGAGAATGGTCATTGCACGTTTATATAGGTTGAATCACTTGCTTCGCTTTAAAAATTCCCCATTGCCTCACAGGAAAGCTTGTTTTAAAGAAAAAGAAAAACAGCCACGTTTGAAGAAATGAAGCGGGCGGGGATAAGAATTGCCAGATGGCAGCCTTCAGTGTAGCACATGGCATTTTGGGTAAGCCTTTCGCGAAACGAAATTCTTTCCAAGTTCAAGTTGGTGTGACAATCAAGTGATTTGCTAATTGCTGGTTATATTAGGGTTTTTAAAACAAGAACTGCACTATTGCACTGATAGCATTGCTGTAAACAACTGTGTACATCTCCTCATTGTAGGGCATGTGTTTTAAATTAAATTCTCAAAACATTCATTGATTTGCCAGTGTTTTGTTTCTGTTTCTTTAAAAAGAAAAGAACAAAACATACCAGGGAAAGCAATTTCCTTCATTAACACTCCCAACTACAGGTCCTGTGAGGTATTGAGTTAATAATTAGGGTGATGAGGTCAAGAGCTTGAGACTGTTCTTGTACTTTTTAAAGGTGTGGTAGGGAAGGGAAAATTCCCACCAGGTACAGCTTTTTCCTGCCAATGTTGCACTTGGTGTGGAAAATGTAGCATTTGGTAAAAGCACCGATTTTGTTAATGTTTTAAAGGCGCCAAAGCCCTCGCAAGATCTGGATTTGAAATCTCCATGGATAATGGAACCTCAGGATTTGCAGTAAGGCATGCAAGGATTCTGTTGATACAGAGCTTTTTTCAGCTGGAACTCACCAGAACTCAGTTCCAGCACCTCTCAGGTGGGCACCATTGCCATTATAAGAGAACAAGGGGGGCGTTCATGGAGCGTTCCAACACCTCTTTCTCTAGAAATACAGCACTGACAGTAGCTCAGCATTAGAACACACATGAACACACACACACACACACACACACACACACACGGTCCCAGGCTCAATCCCTGCCATTTCCAGGTAGGGCTGGGAAAACTCCCATCCAAAACCCTGGGTCATAGGGTCCAATATGGTTGGCCTGCCTCTGAATATTTGGAACTGCAAGTGTGAAGAATGCTATTGAATTCAGGTCCTGTTATGAGGCTTCCTATAAGCATCTAGCTGAGCAGTGTGAGGACAAGATGCTGGACTAGATGAGCCTTAGGTCTCTGTCAGACACCCTGGAGAACCACTGTTGTCAATACTGTACTAGAGGAACATGGGTGGCACTGTGCTCTAAACCACTGAGCTTCTTGGGCTTGCTGACCAGAAGGTTGGCAGTTCGAATCTCCGTTGCTCTGTCCCCGTGAGCTCCCGTTGCTCTGTCCCAGCTCCTGCCAACCTTTGAAAGCACACCAGTGCAAGTAGATAAATAGGTACTGCGGCGGCGGCGGGAAGGTAAATGGCGTTTCTGTGCACTCTGGTTTCCGTCACTGTTTCCCGTTGCACCAGAAGCAGTTTAGTCATGCTGGCCACATGACCCGGAAAGCTGTCTGTGGACAAACGCCGGCTCCCTTGGCCTGAAGCAAGATGAGCACTGCAACCCCATAGTCGCCTTTGACTGGACTTAACCGTCCAGGGGTCCTTTACCTTTTTACCTTGTACTAGATGGACGAACTGTCTGACCTGAGCTAAAGCAGCTTCCTGCACCTCTGCCACGTACAGCATAAGCTCCTGTGAACACTGGTTAGCAGCAGGGCTCCCTTTCAGATGCTTGCCTGGTTGGGTTAGAGACTTCTGGAGGTCACTTTAACATGTCAGCAGGTCCCAAGGTGGCTGACGACTGAAACTCCATTTCCCCTTGCTCAAGCATTTTCTCCTAGCTCCTGTGTTCTCTCAGCTCCCAATTGTGGCAGAGAGGAATGAGAGTCTGACAAGGCCCTGCCCACAGCCTGCTTTCCAAGGCTTGTGCCATCCATCTTGGCTCTAACTCGTGACTCCGGACAGGTGGGAGGCAGAGATCTGCCACTTTCCTTTACCTGCCTTCCTCGCACCTTTGCCCTTGTAAGCAAGGCATTAACATTCTGTAAAAGCTTCTGCTCCGGCTGCAGCTTATGGCTGAAAGGGCTGGGTCAAGTTATGTGACATCTCCGTCTGGGGCCCTTTCAACCGAAGGACCAATTAACAGGACCTCCCGCAGGTGCCTCCAGCTTCCTAGGACAGAGGAATGTCATCCGTAAGGCTCCGTGTCCACGCTGACAGCTCTTGTAGCATTTCTTTGACTTCCACCCCTCTTTGTTCCATTTCTTTTCTGTGCTGCTCTTTATATAGCTAGCAGGCCAAACGCAGAAAGATCAGGAATGCTCACAGTTCAGGGAGGAGCTGTAGCTCAGGAGAAGAGCCCGTGCTTTGCATGCAGAAGGTCCCAAGTTTAATTCCTGGCATCTCCAATGGAAAGTATCAGGTACAGACCCTGGAGTGATGCTTCCAGTGATAGAAGGGAACACTGGTATAGGTGGATAAATACTCCGACCTGGTGCAAAGCACTTTCTTATGTTGCACAGTCTGGCCTGTTGCTTTAAATGGCTTGCCAATGGGTTGCTTATCGATGAGCCATTCCGCTTATGGGTCGGCCTGTCAGTATAAATGACAGCTGATAAGTACTTACCCAGGTATAGGCTATTGCTTGAATTTACAGTGGTGCCTCGCAAGACGAAATTAATCCATTCTGCGAGTCTCTTCGTTTTGCAGTTTTTTTGTCTTGCAAAGCACGGCTATTAGCGGCTTAGCGGCTTAGCAGCTACAGGTATAAACTCGTTCCCGCAACTGCAAGCCTCGACCCCTAGGGAGCATCTGGCCATTGCATAAGCCTCGTCCGGCCTCTTAAGCAGTCCCTCCTGACGCGCTTACATAACACAAGCCCCGACTGCCGCCATCCCAGCGACCCCGGAAGATAAGATCTGCAGCAAGCACCCCGCACCTCCGATCCCGGGGCGCGCTCAGCCAAAGCGTCCCCAGACACCTGTCCCGCCGCGCCTTTGCGCAGCGCTCTGCAGAGTGGAGCGATGAGCCCGGCCGATCGCAGGCAGGGCAAGCGGCAGCGGAGGTGGAGAGAGCGAGGCCCAGAGGGAGGAGTCTCCGGCAACGCCATCGACGGCCCCGCCGCAGCTCCGGGTCCTGGAGCCCTCCGGCTGCCGACTGCCTTTATTTTGCTGCAGGAGCCTCCTCTGCACTGGGATCCTCGCACGTATCTCCATGCCTTTTAGGTGAGTGGCGTGCTCGGGCTGACTTTGGACAACCCACAGCGGGGCTTCCCTCGGCCGCGCGACCGGAGCTCGCCTTTGCGGTCACTTTGAGAAAAAGGAAAAAAAACTCGCAAGAAGTTTCGTCTTGCGAAGCAAGCCCATAGGGAAAATCGTCTTGCGAAGCGACGCAAAAACCGAAAAACCCTTTCGTCTTGCGCGTTTTTTGTTTTGCGAGGCATTCGTCTTGCGGGGCACCACTGTAACTAATTAAGTCTTGCTAATGGCAGGAACTAGTCTGCCAAGTAAAGCAGCAGACCAGCGTGCTTACTCATCAGAAGCTGTACCAATCACAGATCAGCACTTCTGCTTGCCATTAAAACAAAAGAAGAAGAAACTTATACCATACACACACACACACACACACACACACACACACGCAGAGGGCGCTTTCATGAGACCTGTTTATTCAGCAACCATCTTGATTTGTTTGCAGGGAGGTTAGACAACACTGTATCAAAGCAACTGTTATCCCACATTTTCCAGGGCATTTTCCTGTCTCCTCTTTACCGTAAATAGTCCAGTCTTTTGGGGAAGCAGGTTTTAGTGTGCAAGACCCCTCAGTCAAGTGTAACTGCACAGCCTAGATTTGCTGATTTGTTATTGAACCCCACCCCAAAGTAGTGTCAGTCTGGCAGCACCCCTTCAAGGATGGAAGCAGGCCTTTTTTTCAGCCAGAACTCACCAGAATTCAGTTCTGGCACCACTCAGGGGGGTGCCATTGCCATTCTAAGAGAACAAGTGAGACATTCATGGTGAGTTCCAGCACCTCTTTTTCTAGAAAAAAATAGCACTGGATGGAAGTATCTGAAAATCTGAATGTCAAGGCTACATCTATGGGTGTGTTTTCTTATTCACACCTTGTTCCTTCCTCTTGATGAGAAATAAGTTTCCCCTCCCTTGATTCTGCTAAAAATATAGACCATTTTGCATATTATATACATTCCAGGTTTCCTAAAGTAACCAGCACACAGACAGATACATACAGCAATAACAATATAAAAATATGCATGTGGTAATTAGCTGATGAAATTACATTGTGGAAATAAAGCACAGCAAGGAGCTTGGCTCTTTTAGTATTATACATACAGTACACACAATATATGTGTGTTTTGCATATAATCAGTCTGGTGGCTTTAAAAAAAAAAGACAAAGCTCAGACATCGGTGGGTGCTCCTCAGGAGGTGCTCTGATGTGAGCAAAGCTCAATTAGTCTGCAGCGGCCAGACTCCATGCATAAATCTGCTTGAAACTGATTCTTTCTCCATCCCTACCAGCAGCATAAATATTGTCTGATAAAACAGCTAACCAATAATATAAATAAGCAATACAAACAAGACACCAGTATTTATAAATCACAGCAGGATCCAAGCGGTGCAACAGCCTAAAGTTAAAAATGGAAAACCAAACAGAGAAGACATGAAAAAATGAAGACTGTCAGAACAGAAACAGCTTTGCTCAGGTCAGGACAGACTTAGGTACCTGCTGGGTCTTATGGAGGTGTGGATTCCAAATCAGAACTTCCAGATCCAACCAAAGCAGGGGTCAAACTGCACGTGGAGGTAGAATTCAGAGCAGCTTTTACTCACTGGACTCCAATGAAGCAATGTTACTGATAAGATATGCCCAGGCAACAACACAGAATAGTGCTGGGAAATTACTATAGCAATACTGTATATCAGTACTGATTTCCCTGTAATATAATCCAGAAATGGAACCCAATCAAGGGACGGCAACTGCTTATGTCCCAGGACACATCTTCAGAGGCAAGATACCCGCTCACATGAGGCTATGGACAGGCATGGAAACAGAGGAGCAGAAGTAAATGTGAGGGTGATGGCAGAGGAGTCTGAGATTGATGAGATGACAGCAAGGGGGAATAAATAGTCTTTACAGTAGAGAAGTCAGATCCTCCAAGTGTCACTGTTACAATCAAGGCTGTTTAACATGCAACCCATTCCTATCCATGGCTACGTTAAAAAGTAAGCTAACTGGGATTGGATGTTGTACTCATACCATCACAGGGAACTGCCTTATACCAAGTCACAGAATCATAGACTGTAGAGTTGGAAGGGACCCTGAGGATCAGCTAGTCTAGCCAATAGGCAGCTGTCCCATAAGGGGATCAAACCTGCAACCCTGGCATTATCAGCACCACGCTCTAACCAACTGTCAGATGATTGGTCCATCTAACTCTACACTGCTGTTTTGTCTACACCGACAACAGCTCTTCAGGGTTTCAGACAGGGGACATTCTCAATTTTTGCTGGTGTTTAATCAACTGTAAAGGTAAAGGGACCCCTGACCATTAGGTCCAGTTGTGACTAACTCTGGGGTTGCGGCACTCATCTCACTTTATTGGCCGAGGGAGCCGGCATACAGCTTCCGGGTCATGTTGCCAGCATGACTAAGTCACTTCTGGCAAACCAGAGCAGCGCATAGAAACGCCGTTTACCTTCCCGCCGGATCGGTACCTATTTATCTACTTGCACTTTGACATGCTTTCAAACTGCTAGGTTGGCAGGAGCAGGGAACGAGCAACAGGAGCTCACCCCATTGCGGGGATTTGAATCGCCGACCTTCTGATCGGCAAGCCCTAGGCTCTGTGGTTTAACCCACAGCGCCACCCGTGTCCCTTTAATCAACTGTACAGGCTCCCAAAGAATTACAACTATCTTTGCCAGCTGCTTCACTGGACGTTTGGAATTTGTGACTCCTATTTTTTAAAAAAACAAACAAAAAAAAACCTTGGGGGGGGACACACCATTATTTATTTGGTGGTTTTTTAGCTGGTTTTTAAAAGTATTGACCTTTAAAGCCTTTTATTGTTTGGGACCAAGAAGGACTACTTGTCTCCACATGTGCCTATCCCTACACTAACCACCCACTATCTCGGGCAAAACAACATGTAGCTATTAAATCTGAGGATATAAGACCTTTGTGGGGCTTGATTGCACTTTGCCTGCTATTGCATCTTGCTTTTTCTTTATAATGCCAGCTGTCAGCTATATGATACCGGATTAGATAGGCTCCCCAAACAACCTGAGAAAACACAGACCCTATCTCCTTTTGTACTTTTAGCAGCTGCTTAATCTGCAGAAATCAGCTGCTGAAATTGCATGGCATGGTGATAAATATTGTCACTTGCCTAAATGATTAAGCTGCCTTTAAAGGCACAACCACAGGAGCCCACTGAAACCCCCGACTCCTGGAAAGGAGTAAGAAGATGCCAAGATTTACAGCTGCAAGGATTCTCAGGCATTCGCAAATCAAAGAAAAATATTGTGAAAGAAGACACACACACACACTCCACCTGAATGAGGACGGCCTCAACAAGTGCCTGTAACTTCACAGGAAGCCCCACATTAAGATAGCTATATGCCAGCTATTCTGAAAGATCCGTCAACAGTGAGAGCCATACAGTCAAACAGGAATGGAGAAAGCCATGCTGACTGGGGTTGATGGAAACTGGAGTCTAGCAACATTTCGAGGGCCACAGGTTCTTCATCCTTGAAGTAAGGAATCCTCCATACATCCCTGAAGTAATCATATCCTCCAACATTTCTCCAATGAAAATAGTGGTGTCCTATACAACAACAGGGACGCGGGTGGCGCTGTGGGTTAAACCACAGAGCCTAGGACTTGCCGATCCGAAGGTCAGTGGTTTGAATACCCGCGACAGGGTGAGCTCCCGTTGCTCAGTCCCTGCTCCTGCCAACCTAGCAGTTCAAAAGCACGTCAAAGTGCAAGTAGATAAATAGGTACCGCTCTGGCAGGAAGGTAAACAGCGTTTCCATGTGCTGCTCTGGTTCTCCAGAAGCAGCTTAGTCATGCTGGCCACATGACCCAGAAGCTGTACACCGGCTCCCTCGGCCAATAAAGCGAGATGAGCACCGCAATCCCAGATTCGGTCACGACTGGACCTAATGATCAGGGGTCCCTTTACCTTTATACAACAACAACAACAACTTTATTATTTATACCCCACACATCTTACTGGGTTGCCCCAGCCCCCAACCACTCTGGGCAGCTTCCAACATATATAAAAACATAACAAAACATTAAACATTAAAAAAAACCTTCCATATACAGGATTGCCTTCAGATGTCTTCCAAAGGTTGTATAGTTTCTTATCTCCTTCCTCAGTG